GGGGGGGGCGAGAGGCCGGCTCCCAGAGTGACAGCCGCGCCGCCCTGTTGGCGGCGCAGGGGGAGCGGTGAGGGGGCGGGACGGAGCGTGAGCGCGCTTGCTGATTGGCTAAAGCCACCCTCCCGCCTAGCCACCGCCTCCCCCGGGTGCAGGCGCGGCGGCAGGGCGCCCCCTGCTGGTCGGTGGGGCCGCCATTACCCCTTGGCCCTGTCCCCCGGGCGGCCCTCCCGTCCTGGGTCCGAACCGTACCTCTCCTTGTTGGCGTCCCCGGGGAGCTCCCCCTTCCCTTCTCCCGGCTGCAGCCTGCCTGGGCAGGCGGCCTCCAGCACCTCGGGCTGCCAAGTGCGCCCTGCTCACACCTGCCTGCGATTGTGACACCAGCTCCTTAAATAGTTTAGTTGCAAAATATATCTATGTGTATTTGTGTAACTCACTCTGTCTCTCTCTGTTCCGGGGGCAACATGTTTTCTGGCAAAACGGGGCAGAAGGAGCTGGGGTGGCGGCTGCGTGCCGGCAAATGGCGCTATGACTGCTGGCAGAGCCCAGGAGCCTCCCTGCCTCATCCCCTCTGGCTCCCTGGGCACAGGAGGGACCCCAGCGGGTGGCTTGTTCGCAATGGGGGACCTAGGCCAGGAGCTGAGTCCCATAGGGGTGGCAGGGCCTGGAGCGCAGGTCGCCGGCAGGGACATGGCGATGTGGGGAAGAAGGCTCTGTGGAGATGGGAGGACAAGATGGAGGGAGAAGAGGGGCACCATCCCCCTGGCCCTGCTCAGTTCTCCGTGGGCTGTGCTGGTGGTGACGTGGCCGTGGGGCTCCTTCCTCCCCCAGCCAGCGGCTGCCCCTCATCTGTGGCTCCTAGGGCACAGTCCATGGCAGCTGCCGCCTCGGCCTCGCCGGCTGGAGGCCTGGGGGATGGTGGGGCGTCTCGGCTGTGGCGGGGTGCCGGCTGGGGGGGCAGCGGCGGAGGGACGGAAGGGGCTCGGCTGGGTGCCCCGGCTGTCCGTCGCGGCCGGGCTTTGGGGCTGGTGGTGTGCTCCGGGGCTGCCGGGGCGGGAGCCGTGCTGCGGGGCTGGGCCACGGGTGGCGGCGGCATGGTGGGTCGAGCTGGAGCCGGGCGCTTGCCTGGAAAGAAAGCTGGGATGGAATTGTGGTCCCCTCTGCTGGGGTCTCTCCCCAGAGCAGAGGGGGCTGCGGTGCCAGCCATCAGCCAAACAAGGTGCTGCGGGCAGACTGATGGACAAGCTACTCCTTGCCCAGTTCCCATACTGGAGACCCAAGTACGTGACAGATTTTGGGGTCTTTTCCCACCCTCTTCCCCTCACAAGGGGCCATGAGGTTTGACACCTCTTTGCAGGGGGTGTTCACCCCCACATTGGAAGACCGGCCACATTGCCCCTCACCCAGGGATGGAGCACACAATGAAGGGCCAGATCCTGGCTTTGCTGCCCCGGCCAGGGCTGCTGCTTCTCACTTGGTGTCAGGGATGTTCCCAGCACCCTTTCGTGTGGGAAATGGCGGGATGAAGGCAAAGCAGAAGGGGTAGCGTTAGGGAGGTATAATCTCCCAAGCACTGTGCCACCTGGGGCACCCTGACCTTTACGGGCTGTGTCCTCGGTCGTCTGTGAAGCTGGTGGTGCCGTGGCTTCAGAAGGTGGTCTGGTCACTGGTGGGGATGCTGGCTGGGACCTAGCCTCGGGGTCCCTTGAGGTGCTGTGCAGAGAATGGGGCGAGTCAGGTTTCGGTTGGTCCTGCCTGCAGGGCACCTTGCATTCATCTGGCAAGGATACGGGCCATGGCGTGGAGTGGGATGAGGGGAGGACATGAGGAGAGCTGGGACAGTCAAAGCTCCCAGCTCCTGCTGGACTTACGCCTCTCCATCCGTGAGAGCCGGGGTGCTGGCTGGAGGGGGCTCAGGGGACGGGTCTTCCACTGGGGTGGCCTTGCGAAGTTCACTGTTTGCGGGTGGCGTGAACATGCCTGAGACGTTGAAATCTACCTCTGGGTGGAAAGCAAGGAGGAGACCCCATGAGGAAGCACTTGCCAAGCAGAGTTTCCCCTGGTGACCCCGTAAGCAGAGAACCGGAGCAGCCCCTTGCTTCCCTCCTCCTGGGGATGGAGAAATATCCCTTTCCCTTCCTCCTCCCCTTCACTCTCTGCTGCAGCCCCCCCCAAGTCAAACCTTGGCCCTACCTCCGGGGAAGAGGGTGTCTGCATTCTGGATGAGGGCTTCCACCACGCCCACCACCTGGATGGAGGAGACCGAGGCCAAGTCCAGTTGCACAGGGTCTCTGAGAGACAGGGGTGGGGGAGGAATCAGAAAAGGGGTTTAGGGGCATTAACCCTTTTGGTGTTCATTCCTGAGGGTAGAGAGCCCAAGGCAGGTGGGAGGATGGAAGGTGGCCTCGTTGCCTGTCCTGGAAACCCTAGTTTGGTGTTGGAGGCTATCCATGTCACAAGTGCTCTGGGTCTCAGCCTCTTCCTCTGCTACTTTGCGGAGTGGCTAAGGAGACATGTGCTTGGCAAGGGGAGTTGGCTGCTTGGGGAATGTGGGAACAGGGGTTGGGACTTGAGAATGGAAGAGGTGCAGGTGCTGCCTGAAGGCTGCAGGATCAGCCTTGCCCATGGCGTGAGCTGCTTCCCACCCCTCCAAGCCAGGTCTTACTCTGTGTTCTGCTGCGGCCACAGCAGGTTGGGGCCCAGCACGATGGCGATGTTGCTGGGGGTCATTTTATTCACCTCCTGGTGCTCGGCCAGCTTGGCTAAAAACTTGATCAGGTACCTGTGGGGTAAAAGAAATGCAAGTGAGCAGTAAGTATGGATTCAGGGAGGGAATGGGTGCCCCTGGTGATTGCTTGGGGCTGAAGAAGCCCTGTCCCCGCAAAACACCTCAGATTGTTGTAGCTGTCCCGGGGCAGGCGGCTGCAGGTGTCTTGAAGGCTCTGTACACGGTCATCAATGTCCTTTAAGCTGCAAGAGAGAAGAAGGAGGAGCGGAGAGCTCAGCCCTCTCCCTACGGCAGAGAGGGACGCAGAGAGAGCCAGTGTTGGCCGCCCCATGTAGAGAGAAGAAGGAGGAGCGGAGAGCTCAGCGCTCTCGCTACGGTGAGAGAGATGCAGAGACAGCCATTGTCGGCCGCCCCATGCGGGGAAGGAGATGCCCTGCTGCTGCCTATACTGGGCAGGTGAGCCAGGCACCGACAAAATTGCACCCCAAAGCCTCCAAGGGGTTTAATATGACATGAATACAGCTGACCCTGGGGGCAAGCGCTGCCTTGCCACAAGCCACAACCCTATTTCACCATGACTACAGACGTCAATGGCACTGAGCCGATCCCTTTAGAAAGGTGCTCTCCCCCTTCCCCCAGGTTTTTTGATGTGTCTTCTCCGCCACTGTGTCCATCCTGAAAACAACAGGCCAAACTGGGCTGGTGGGCCAGGGAGATGGGGCTCACACCATTGAGGCCAAACTGGTCTTCCTAGGCTAAGCTCTTCTTGCAATCAAAAAGGGGCTGCAGCTTTCCGCCTTGCCCTTTCCATGTTTTTTTGAGATTTTGGGCCATCTGGATTCTTGCTGAGCAGGGGACAGACCAGGTGCTGCATTCTTATCTCCTCACATGGCAAATGAGGCTGAGCAGCCTTGCTCCAAGTGCTGGGAGGGACAGAAGGAAGGCGGAGGGGGGCCTTTTTAAGCCCCACGAGGCTTTTCCACCCCAGTGCCTGGACCTACCTGCCCACTTTGACCCATTCATCGTAGAGCTCAGAGGTCATCAGAGGCTGGGGCAGCTCCCGCAGGTAGGACTTCAGTGCACCTGGGGAGGGGGAGCGGTGGGGGTGATGGTGGTTGGGGGACGGCAGGGACTGCCCAATTGTGTCCCCCCATCCCGCCTCCCTGGCACCCACCAGCCACAGCGTGGGGGTCTGAGTAAAACTCCTCCAGGGCGTTGGAGCCGCTGGCCAAGCTGCTCTTCAGCTTCCTCAGCACCGAGGCTCCCGCCGCCAGCCGGAAAAGTCCCTGGGGATGGGGGGAAGAGGGAAGGGATGTGGGGTGGCTGCATTTTTGGGGGGGAGGGTGGCGGGGTGGGGGTCAGGAGTGCTGCCTACCTCCTCCCTCATGCCGGAGGCCAGCAGCATCATGACACAGGCTTCGATGGGCAGCGCGATCTCCCGGTTCAAGCTCTTGAGGTGTGTCTCCAGGGGCACACCGTAGTACCCCGCCACTGGAGTGTCTGCAGTGAAGGAGGGCTCTGGAAGAGGGAGGTGGATGTTGGGAGGGACAGCGGCCACCAGGGCCATCTGGCATCTAGCTGCCGTGACATCTCACTCCTAGCCGGGGCTGGCTGAGTGGAGGCAGAGGCTGGGCAGGCAGCATCTCCAGCCCACCTCAGGCTGAGATTCCCGTTCCACCAGCCCAATGTAGGAGGCAGCAGGAGATGCAGGGAGGGAAAACTTTCCTTTTCCAGCCTCACCAGCCGCTCTCGCATCCCCAGGCTCAGCCCTCCCCGGGCTGTGTGGAAGCTAGCGGGTACCTGTCTGGCTGTGGCTTTCCTTCAGCTCCGCCAGAGCCGAGTCCAGTGATCCCAGGGACTGCCGGTGGTACTGGGCTTGGATTTCCAGCAGCTGCCGCACAGGGGACAGGCAAACAGCACTCAGTTTGGCACTGCCCCCCCTCGGAGAGAACCCCCTTCCCCAGGACATTGCACCCACATGGAGGCAGGGCAAAGGGGGAGCTGCAAGTAAACCCTTGCTGGGGTCCATGGGACCTTGACTATAGTGAGAGGTAGAGGGCAAACTGGAGGGGGAGAGTCACTGAGACAATCCCCTCTGTGTGCAGTTGGTGCTGGTGGTGGCATTAACCCACACTGCATGGATCAAGGCCAGTTTTGGGCATCTGCTTGTGCCCGGGGCTGTCCCCTGCCATGGTTGAAGGGCTTGGTGTGGATAGGGACAAGGTTGGGCTCAGGCATACCCCAGGAGATGTTCACACACTGAAGAGGAGTGTGAGAGAGGACTTACTCTGATGAAGTAGCTGGCGTAGCTGTCCTCTTTGGTGGAGAAGTGGTAGAGGTCAGCCATGTACTCATCCTGGGAAGGAAGATGCAGAGAAAAGCAACCTTCCCCCTCCTCCCTGGCACCCAAGGAAGAGGGGACACCTTCACAAAGCACCTTCACCTGGGCTGTGAGTTGCCCAGACAGGGGTGCAGTAGTGAGGTTGGGACCCAGGGGGACAGACTGGGGCCATGTGGGGATTCCTCCTTGCTCTGCCACCCCATTTGAGTAATGCCCTATGATCAGGATCCTGGCACAAGTGGAAAACCTCCAGCTGCAGTGATCCCATGGGCTCTGCCAGACAAGGCGCAGGGCTTTCCAGAGGAACAGAGGTGGAGCAAACTGATGTGAAGGTCCTCTGCCACCCAACATGGACCCCAGCCAGCTCAGCTGGCTCCTAGCCCAGGGGAACCCCATAAGCTCCCTGCTCCAGTCCCTGGAGCCTCCTCTCTGCAGCAGCTTGTGCTTTGAATCTTTTACTCTTCTTTTCCCCTGGGCATAGGGCGTCTCCTTGAGGGACTGGTTTGCTTGAGGGACATGCTGGCTGGCTGCATCTGTCTTGGTGCAGTGGTCACCTTGGATGGAGCCACTGGAGAGGAACAGGTCTCCAGCCCTGGAGCTGCCCCATGGGTGCAGAGCAAGTGATGTTCTCACCTTGCATTGCTCCACCTTCCTCTTCACCTCCTCCTCCTCTTCCTTCAAGATCTCCAGTTTGTTGGCAGCAGAAGACGCCCCCGGGCCAACACCAGTGCCAGTGCTGTTACTGGAGCTCTTGGCAGCTTGGTTCAGCCTTTGGGGTGGGAGAGAAGAGTCACACCTACAGCCTTGGTGCCAGGGGAGAGTGGGGTGGGTGTGCAGAAGGGGTATGTGGACTGTGAGGGGGGTGGCAAATCATGCTGCTACTCTGTGGTGGATTTCCTAGGCCAGTGCCTCTAACTTCCCTCACCCAGAAAAACATACTCCACACCAAGGGGTCAAGACAGGGAGTACTCTGCTGCCTGAAACACTCAGGGTCTGCAGGACCCTTCCCAAGCCCCGTTCCTGAGATGTTCCTTCCTGTCCTCCATCTAGCCAGAGGGAAGGTGGTGTAGAAACGAGCCATCAGTGACTCATGGCTGCCCTGCTCTCCCAGAGGAACCCAGCGTGATATGGGCTACCCTGCAAGAGTCAGAGAAGTACCATCTCAGCAGCACTGAGCAGGGCCAGGGCACTTTGCTGCCTTCAGCAATGGCACTGCCCTTCTCTCCTTTGCCACAGAGCCAGTGGCTCAGCCCAAAGCGGGATGCACCCACAGAGAGGGTCTGGCTGGGTGCTCCTGAAGAGCTATTGCCTCTTTAACTTCTTCCCCAGCCCTGGGAAATTTGCTACCCAGGGCAATCATCTTCCTCTCTCCCCAACCTGGCTGGGGGCTGTGCCCCATGTCGTCTGTCTGTCCCCTCCGTCCCCCCACTCCCTCTATTCCCCGAGCCACAATGTGCCCTGTACCGGCTCTTGATGGTGTTCCAGTCAGAGATCAACTTCTGGAGGGTCTTCTTGCGCTTCAGGATGATAGGAAGCTCCTCCTGTGGGAAAGAGGGGCCAGAGGGCGTTGCAGAGGCTTGGGGATGTGGGAAGGGGAGGTGGAATGGGAGAGTGGTGCCTGGAGGGCAGCCAGGGCTACCTCACTGAGCTTGTTGAGTGGCTGCAGGACATCATGCTCCAGGGCGATCTCGAACTCAGCCAGGATTTTGGCCAGCGAGCTCTGTATGCAGCAGCCCATCTCCAGAGCTTTCCTGTGTGGAGGACAGAGATGAAATGACTGCAGGTGGCAGTCATGCCACCCTCTGACCCAACACCCCCCACCATACCCATACCCATACCCATGTGGGACCCTAAGCCACCCCTGACCCCCTCTGTAACTGGAGGTTGAAGGCACTGGCTGTTCCTTCTCCTGTGACACCAATGATGTCCCCGAGGCCAGGGTTTGACAGCTCAGCTTGGCTGTGGGAGCCCCTGAGCCAAGATAGTGGCTCTGCCAGGGTCTGGCATCTTTCGAGGTTGCCCCTGGCCCTTTCTTCCAGTGGCACTTACCCAAGGCTGGACTCCGTGTCCAGTTCCTTGAAGCTCTCAGCCATCGTCGTGGACAGAGCCATCAAGGGCAGCTTCTTCTGCACAGAGCCAAGGAATCAAGAAAGGTATGGTGAGCTGGTGTGTGAGCAGCTCCCTCCCCATGAAGCATGCCACCATGGTATGGGAGCAAGTGGCCAAACCCTGCGCCGGGTCACCATGTCTTCCCCTGGCCCACCCAGCTCCGTTGGCTGGACACGGACAACAGGGCTTCGGAGGGTTATTCAACGCAAAGACACTGTCCTCTGTCTCAGGAAGCCTCATGTTAGTGATGGCTGAGAGGGTTGCCCTTCTCTGCTCTACCTCGGTACCTGCTGGTGGCCACTGCTAGATATGGGGTCTAGGCTGAGCTTTAGGCAAACCAGGGGCCTGGCGTCCCCTTTGCTGGATAAGGACAGAGCAGGGGTGAGCATGGGCTGCGGAGGGAGGACTCTACTCACCACTCGCTTGTCCATCTCGGAGCCGCATTGCCCCTGCAGGCAGGCTTGGAGCCTCTTGGACACGCTGTGAGCCGCTCGCTTGGCTGGCTCGATCCTCTGCTCGATCTGGGGGCAGAACGGTGGGACTGGGGAAGCCCTTCCAGCAACCTGGGTGGGTGCCCTGAGGCCATTTCACCCCCACCCAGCTCTGGGGGTAGGTGAGCCCACCGAGCATCCCCCCTAGTCCAGGGAAAAGGGAGCACAGCTCCAGATCAGGATTCATCCCTCTGTGAGCAGCTGGGGAAGCCCTTTCCTGTGTCAGGAGCTATGGTCCTGGAGTCACCCTCCGGCACGTGGGCAGATGCCAGCCCCATGACTTGGACGTGCTGGCAGGGCAAATGGCAGGCAGGAACGGGGCAGGTTCCCACACCCAGGCACAAGCAGGCACACGCTTGCTGGCCCAGCCCACACCTCACCTGCAGCAAATCCTCTGGCAGGAGCTCAGTTGCTTCTTGGGCTCTGCAAAGGAAGGAGAAAGAGCCATCAGCAAATGGGGGTGACCTCCACCCAGCCTCCTCAGGAAGGCAGGTTCTTCTGTGTCCCACCCGCTTCTCTCAGGAGATGCTGGCTATGGTCTGGACCATCATGCACAAGGCAGAATGAGCCCAGGGGAATGAGAACAGCAGGAGAAGAGCAAGGCAGCCAACCTTGCTGGCTGGTGGACAGCCCATCAGACAGGGCTTCAAGTTCAGAGCACCATAGTCAAAATGTCCAGATGTGGCCTGTTTTTTTGAAGACAGGATGGCTAGCAGGGGTACATCATGGGTGGGGTGTTTGCTGGTGAAACCTTCTACCCCCCACTCCCCACCTCTCCCCTGAAGGTGAATCCGGGTGATCCTGCACGCATCTTTGCAGGCCAGGGTAGCCACCGGCTGTGGGGCCACCAGTGCTGAAGAAAGGATGTCTTTGTGGTCAAGCTAGGGACTGAGACCAACACCAAGCCTTCCAGAAGTGCCTATATGAAACCAGCTTTCTGCTTGGTTTTGCAGCAGGTATTAGGAGCAAATCAGGCAAAGGAAACTTTCGATTTGCAGCAAATTCTGCTCAAAACCAAATTGAAAACCCACCAGCCGCCATCACCACCAAACCTCCCTGATGCCTCTCATAGAGGAAACCTCTCTTCACAGCCCACTGCCGTTGCTACGCCCCAGGAACCCTGTTTGCTTTCCCTCTGCTGCTGCTGCTGCTGCTTTTTCCCCAGTTCGTGTTTCTCTCTTTTCACTGCCCGCCAGAGCCAAGCTGGGACGAGGCCGTGGAGCCGCAGGAAACGGGGGCGGCTTGGTTGAAGGCAAGCAACATCACGTGAGATTGTGGCCTGCAGAGGAAAGGCTCTGCAGCGGGTGAGGAGCTTGCTCTTGGGCTGCACGAGCTGCTTGAGACCTCCTGCCTGCCCGGCGTTAAGCGAAAGGGAGGCACATGCAACACGGAGATGAGACATCTTGAGGCAGGAGGCTTGGGAAAGGGGCTCATGCTCCCCTCCGAGGAATGCAAGAAGAGCAAGAGGCCACCAGGATGTAGGAGCTCCACCCCTGTGGCTGGTCTACTGGGCTGGCTGAAGGACCTCCGTGGTCCAGGGGACACGGTTGGTCCCGCTCAGCCTCCTAGAGCTGGAGACCCTGCAGAGGTGGCTGTAGGAGAGAGGGAGCGAGGGGGCTGGGAAGGGAGGGCCCAGCCCTGTAATTTCAGTTCTGGGTTGTGCAAGGGGAGAGCTTTGGAAAGCCGAAGAGAAAAATAAGGAAGCAATGGAGGTACGATGGAGCTGGAGGGATGTGTGTGAAACTGTAGGTCCTCCATGGGTCCTCTGAGGATCCCTGGTCTTCTCCTTAAAGGCATCCCGGGACACCCGTGCTGTTGGGCTGGCTAGAGCTATGCAGGGCATCTGGCCTCTGTGGGGCACCCCGGGCTCAGTGGGGAGGGCAGGTCCTAGCTGCTAACACCCTCCTGGTCACCACACAGCACAGGGCATGTGGCTGGAAGGTCCCTCTCCATTGCACTCACATCCTGGGGAAGCCAAGCTCCAGAAAGGCCCATTTCCAGGTGGATATAGCATCTCTGGGTCCTGGGAGAGGGTAGCTGGGCACGGGGTGCTCCTGAGCAGCACCGGTGCAGCCTTCCTGCTGCCCCATGGGGCTCTCACAGCCCCTCACCTTATGCTGAGGATGCTCAAAACCCAGGGTCATTCCCTTTTTCCCCTTTTCCCTGGCCACTGGCCCCAGAAGGTGAGTCCAGCCTTGGTGCAAGCCCTCCAGGACCCGCATCCCGCTCCCTCCCGGCACAGGTAGCGGAGAAGATCTTACCGGCTGGTGATGTTGGGATGGGACAGCTGCTGCCGCATCCGATTGAACTGCCTCTTCATCATCTTGAGAGCCGGGAGGAGACCACAAGAGCTGCTCCGCTCGGCTGTACCCACTCAGCACCCCTCGGTGATGCTTGGCATCGGACGGGGGCGGCCCCTTGGGTCCCAGGAGCCGCTCTGCCCCTCGCTTTTCCCTGAGAACCTCTCCCTCCGTACTCCTCTCCTTCCTCCTTCCCCCTTTTTCTGTCTCGCCGGCTGGTCCCCTCCCTCGTCCCTCCCTGGGGATGCCCTGCCTGCTTTCTCTTCCCCTCCTTTGGGCTCCCTTCTCTCCTTCCCTCTCTTTTTTTCTGAGCTTCCTTCCTCCTCTGGCCGCCCCTCCGCCGCAGATCAGGTAAGAGCAGTTCAGGGCTCCTGCTCCGCTCTGTGTTCCTGTCACCACCCCGCAAGTATAAATAACTTCAGCCCAGCCTTAAAGGGGAAATATTATTACAGCAAACACGTAACAAGGCAGGACAAGCACACGCTGCTGCCGAGCCCGAGCGAAGGGCCCACGCTCTCTCTCTTGCTCGCTGTCTCACTCAGCCGGGGTGGTTTCCCCCCTCGACACCCCTTGCCTTGCCCGCCACCAGCTGCACCGCGGGGACAGCCCGTGGCCATGCCAGCTGTACGGCACCCGATGTACACCCCCACCCGCTTCTGCCCTACCTGGTCACCCAAATTCTGCCAACGCCCCTCAGGCACCTCTCCGTGCTCGCAGGTGCAGCCCCAACCTCTTCAACCTCCCTCAACATTGTCCCCTCATTGGGACCAAAGTTGGGGAGTGAGCAGCACAGCCACCTCTGCAACCCCTCCTGTGCCCCAAACCCCGCTTTCCCTCCCTGCTGTCACCAAGGCTCTTGGGAGCCACCACAAAGCTGCAGTGAAGGGCTGTTACCCTGTGCCCTAGGGTGGCCCCTTCCTCCTGCCACTGGCAGGGCTTCTCTGAGCAGCAGGGCTGGGCCAAGTGCCCACACACAGTTGCACGGGGACCACAAAGTCCCGGTTCCCAGGCTTGGGTGCTGCCTGCTCTCTGCAAGAGCTGCACCAGGGCTCAGCTTGCTTTTTTTTTTTTTTTTTTGGTCTAAAAACATCCCCCTCACACCACAGCCACCTTTGCTCCTGGCTCTACCAGATGCAAACCTCGCCTTGTCTTTGGGGCTACCTGCAGCTGGGACTTTCCTCCTGCCGCGCTAGGAGCAAGCGGAGGTTGCCAGTGGCTGGGTTACGTTGGCTGGCAAAGGAACCAGCACCCGTGTGCAGACGGGAAGCGGTCAGTTTGTGGGCAGACGAGACAAGCAGCAAAGGAAAAAGAGGTGGAAGGGCCACTCCACCTGCACCCTGAAACCTGAGGAGCAGTAATTTGGGGGCTGACGGGCTCTGCTCCTTCTTGGGGAAGGGTGTAGGGGGTGAGCCGTCAGTGAGTGGGTAGCAAAGCAGTGCTGGACCTCTGTTTTTAAGCAGGGACCAAACCAGTGAGCACCGTTCTCCCTCCCTGAACACCAGGTTGCTCTAAACCTGCAGCCAAGGACCTGATCCCCCAGCCATGAGCCCTGGGGGTGCCCCTGATGGGTGTTGCAGTTGCTGAATGCAGGCGAGGGCTTCACAGCACCTCCTGCAAAGCCTCAGAAACGCTCCCCCAGCCCTTCGCTGGTTGCATCAGGCAGTGGCCAGGTTCTGTCCTCTTCCCTCCCATGCAATGTCAAGAGACCTGCTCCCAGCCCCGGGGGCTGCTGCTTGCCAAAGCAGATTCCCCTCCCTGCACCCAAACTGCTCCAGGAAGCCACTTCCGAGAGGCAGCCCCAGGGAAGAGGAAGAGGTGCTGCTACGGGCAGCGGTGAAGCTGCAAACAGCCGTGTGGGGCAGGGGAGTGAGCTCAAGTCCCACGCTCCCCGTGGGCTGTGGGGGCACCGACCCCTGCCCACCACCTCTCCCCGGGGAGGGAAGGAAGCGGGCAGCAGCCAGCTCGCAGCCTGGAAGTGGCTCTGCTGCTCTCAAACAGGAATTGAGAGCAGCTGGGGGACTTCCACCATCCCCTCTCCTTGCTCACGGGAGAGGGGAAATCATCACAGCAAAGCCCCGGGCGACCAAGGGGTGACTTACAGGATCCCAGCTGAAAATGACACCTCGCAGCGTGGAATCAGCTCCTCCATGGCCAGGGAAAGTGAGGAGGGAAAATGGATTTCTTGGGTCAAAAGGCAGAGGGACAGGATCAGGAAAGAACTCTTTATTTCCCATAAATACAGCAGATTCTTCGCGCCGGGCGTTTTCTTTTTAAATCTTTTTTGTTTGTTTGTTTCTTTGTTTTCTTCCATTTACAGAATTTTGCACTGAAAATATATACAAGTCTGTCAAGAACCAAACAAGATCTGCAAAGAAAAAACCCATACAAAACCCTGAAAAGAGACCAGAAAGGGAAGTAGGACACAGCAGAACCCCAGCACAAAGACCTTCCTTCCCCCTCTCCTCCACCGCTTGCTGTGCCCAGCTCCAAAACACCTCACCTCCGCTGTCCCCAAGCCGAGAGCACGAGGCACGCTGCTCACCCCCACCTCCCACCTCTGGCAAGCCAATGTGGGGAGCAGCCTGCCCTTGCTTTTAAGGTCAGGCCCTGTTAAAACCAGTTTAGGGATTTGATGGGAAATGGTTCCTGTGGGCCGCCAAGTCCCACGGGGATAGGGAATCGCTGGGGACGTGCCACCCTCTGGTCTCCTCCGTGCCTGCAGATCCCCGCTCTTGTGTCACAGTGATCAGGCGGCTGGGGCGAGCCCCCTCCCCGCCGCAGGGAGCCAGGCCAGCCCACGGCTGCGGGTGAAGGTGTGCAAGGCACGGCTGTACCCCCCCGTACCCCCCACCCAGTGCAGAGCTGGGCTCCCAGTGCAGAGCTGGGCTGAGTGGTGCCCTCTGGTGATGTGCTGGGCTCCAGCCTCTCCTCCACTCCCAGCCCATCACCCACCCCACAGCGAGAAGATGCTGAGGAGCTGAGAAAGCCCCCCTGACCCACCACACTCCCCAGCCCAGCCAGGGGGAGGAAGACCATGTGCTGCTTCCTCCCCCTGTTGGGCATGAGGCTGTTGGGGAGACTCAGCGCCGCCCAGCACACCCCTCTCAGGGCTGGCAAGTGGGACAGAGTCCAGCAGCAGTCCCCCCAGAGCTCACTGTGGCAGATGAAGCACATGGGAAGGGTGTGGGCTTTCTCACTGTGGGGGTTCAGTGCCCAGGAGCTCCAGCTAAAGGGGACAGGAAGACACAGAGACCTTCCTAGCCCCCAGGCTCCCACCCCAGGGCCCACCTCCCACCAAGGGAGCTCTGCTGGTGGCTCCCTGGTGCTGGAAAGACACACAATTTCTGTCCAGCCTTGTTCCACACCAGCTCCAGTGAGATCCCACCAGACAGGGAACCACCAGGCACCAGCTCCAAGGAGGGGACAAAGGGGACAAGAGGGAGCACCGCAGAGCACGAAGCAGCTGAAGGGCTGGGAAGCGCGGTGGGGACAGAAAAGGAAAAGGATCTTCCTTCGCTAGGCCTTGCCCCAGGCTGAGGCTGTTAAGCTCCTCATCCTTGTTCCCCACTGCACCTAGGGGGAAAGCAGGGTTAGAAGAGAAGCTGGACAGACTAGGGAGGGAGTGATGCCTTCGGAAGAGCAGGGAAGGCAACTGTTCACCCACACGAAGCTTTTCACTCCACTCCCAGTCTTGTGGGATGAACATCTTCTGGCGTCTCTGCTCTCCTCCTCAAGGCACGCTCCCTCTGGCCCTCACCCGGCCGTCTGGAGAATAGAGCGTGAGCAGCAGCCCCCCACCCACCCTCCCCGTCTCCTCGGGCTGCTCCAGCCCCACAGGGCTGGTGGCTTCCCAAGGACTCTGCAATGTAGTGCCTGCAACTTGTGCGGTAGCCCTAGAGGTTTCCCCAGGACTCCGGCGGGGGAAACTGGTCCACATCCCCCATTTCATTGTAAGTTTGCTCTCCCATGGTGAAGGTCAGCTTGTATCGTAGCCTCACTTTCTCCTGAAAACAGGGGAGAAGAAATAAGTAGTCAGAAGGAGGAGGGGAAAGAAAGTCATAAGGCACAAACCATTCAGGACTCTAGGAAGCTCCAGAGAGCAGAGGGAAGAGGGACAGGGTAACCAGGCTTTGCCCAGGCAGCAAGACCAGCCTGCTCATGCCCTAGGGATGGTGCCTTTACCTTCTGTGGGTTAGCGAGCAGCAGGACTTGTGTGATGGCACTGGGGTGGACAATGGGGTTGAACGCTGGCAGCTCTGTGCCTGAGGGAGGCTGCAGCTTCACCTTCATCACCTAGGGAGAGAGAAGAGCATCCTGCATTCCTGAGTTGGACTTGGCAACCAGAGGCTTTTCTCCTGTATTTGGGGAGCTTCCACTGTCTAGTCAAAGAGAAAACCATTGTGCTGATTCCTGTTAATCTGAAGGCAAGGCAACTCGCTCTCAGCCCCACAGAGCTCTCTCCACCCACCCTGCCCTTCTTGCACAGGCAGCATCATGCTTCAGCCCAGCCTGGGGACCTCAGCCCCAGCAGCCACCTTACCTTGGGGACAGCAGACTGAAAGACGATGTTGCGGATGGGCTGTGGGGCCGTGCTGAGCATAGAAATCACCACCACAAGCACATCGGGCCTCTCGGGCAGGGCATCCTTAGCGAAGTGGAAGAGGACGCGGAAGCCGTGCTGATCATACACTGTCACAGGGAGGATGCTGCCTGTGGGAGAGGCAGGGGCAGGCAGCAGTCAGCCAGGAGGGAGCTGGCCCTGCAGCAACCTTTCCCCATCACCCAAGCTCTATACAAGTGACAGGAGATACCACTCCTCCTCAACCTCAACAAAATCCAACAAGCAAGAAGTTTCCTCACACTCTTCCCTTCCACGTGCACGTGGTCTGTTCCCCGCCATGCTTCCCCCCATCTTTCACCCTGGCTTACTGGGTTTGATTGACTCCAGAGGCACAGTGATGTTGGCCAGCGAGATCTCCTGGGGCAGCGTGGTGGCAGGAGGCCGTGGTGGGACTGCAGTGCTTCCAGCTGGCGTGGTGGCAGCTTTTGGAAGCGTAGCAGGGGCGGGCAGCTCTGAGGACAGGGGCAGCGTGGGGTTAGGAGAAACACTCTGGAGCACAGGCAGAGTGCTGGGATTGTGGGCCATGGTGCCAGAGTTGCTCCTGTTCTGGAGATCCCTCAGGGTGAGCCGGGGGGGTGGCTGCTGCTTCTCCCTGTAGGGGGAGAGAGCGAGGAGTGGAATGGGACACTGAAATGTCATG